GAAGTCTCACTCGTGGATTGGCATGTCTATAGCATTTTGAAATGGTTCTTTGGTCCATCTTCTTTAGTCTTCATGATCATTACTTCGATTGTTACCCTTAGACATGATCTGCGTATGGAAGAACGATGAAGATTTGAAGATGAAGTAGAAACATAACTGTGTTCTTTAGTCCATCTCCTTTAGCATAAATTCTTCATGATCATTACTTCGATTGTTACACGATAGACATGATTCTGAATATGAAAGAACGAGGATGATTGGAAATGAAGTAGGAACGTAACTGTGGTTCTTTAGTCCATCTCCTTTAGCGTAAAGTCTTCATGATCATCACTACGATTGTTACACATTAGACATGATTCTTAATTTGAAAGAATGAGGAAGATTTGAAAATGTGAGTTGGAACATAACTTCTTCCCCATGTTATATGGATTCATGCGCAAAGTTTTACATTGGACAACAGTAAGGATAACCGTCTAACTGTCAATATGCAGTCCTTTTTACAGTTTCGCAGCAAATTTACTATTCATGGTCTGCTTTACTACCTTCTTACTATGCTTGCCTAACTCAACTTAGTGTGAAAGAATTGAACAATGAGATTCCTTATTCATCTGTGTTGTTAAGAATGAATCACCATCCAGCATTTTCCTTGTGTGGCTAGCCACGTGTTTTGGTTTTGGCTGAGTATGTTTTGATTTCCAGCAACAATGGAACTCACATCAGTGTTGATTCTTCTCATAACGATATATCTTTATGATGTTTTAGGCTTTTTATTTCCACGATTTTATAGTCAATGCTTTGGTGTTATCCTGCTATAGTCAGGGCATTATTCCCATTTCTTAGTTTTTAGTAACCTGCAGGTAGCTGAGAAGATACTAAACAACAAAGTGTTGGAGTTCTATAAATGGGAGGGTCAACTTTCCCAACTGTTACGAAATGTGAGGGAGAAGTTGAATAAAGTTACAGAAGTGAGTTTCTTGTATCATGAATCTTTACCTGCTTACCCATAGGTTGTTGTTCTATAAGTTCACTGGGTGTCAACAATAATAAAATATGACATAAAATGGAGTATTTTAGTACAAAAGCTTATTTTCTTCTTTATTTAAATCTGCTTACGGGGTATTAATTCAAGTCGACATTGTAAATAGTTTGCTCAATGGTTTTCGTCAGGGATGGACCCGAGAAGAAAAGAATCATTGTTTGGAAGAAACTGAGAAATCATTCAAGCTTTCAGGCGAAGTTCTGCGTCTGATATTAGTATCATGATGATATTTCTCTATTTGCTATTTGTGTAATTATTGTGTAAATAATGGCAAAACCTTGGAACATTGTGGGACAAGCAAATTTGTAGTTCAGTTTAAACCACAAATTAAATTTTATATTAGGCATTGAAAGTAGTACTACCTCCGGTCCTAATTATAAGAATTAGTTGACTAATTTGAAAAGATTAAGAAAAAAAAATTAAATTAGTTATTTGTAATAAATATGTGTTGTATTTCTTTAAATGTTTTTACTAATCAAGTGTATTAACTAGAACTATTATTGTTAATAAGACTATATTAGAAAAATATATGTAAATATAAGAGACAAAATGGATTAGGGTTTTATATTTAGAACCAAAATAAAAGTTAAACAAGGTCTTATATTAAAGACCAGAGGTAGTATATTATTATCAATTCATAAAGTTGTTGTTTTTTTTTCCCGGTCCAATTCATGAAGTTGCTATATATTTGTAATCATGCACGTTGTTAGCTCTTTCTTGAATATGTAAATTTTATTTTCAACTAGTAAAATTAATATGCATGTCCTCGTGATTTTCACTTTATTTTTAATTTAGTTCTTGTAGTGTTTTTAAAATTTCTGTTGGGTTCTTATAATTTATTCAACTATAGGTATTAATTTCTATACTTATAATTTGTAAATTTGTAAGAGAAACCAAATTAATAGTTGATGATGGCTTATGAGAAGGATGAACTGGACACTTCTAGTAGGATTTTATTTTGGGAAAATGACACAAAAATAACATTTAAACTTCAAAATCCTAAAATGGTCACTTGAACAAGTAAAATCTCAATTTAGGTATAAGCAACCAATCTGGAATTTGTAAATTTGTTGAAATGATCATATTGTTTTTTTTTTTATTGTTTTTAAAAAACCAAATACCCTGACTAATTGGCAGGTCATTGGAGCTTTGGTGTCGGCAGCGGCTGCTGGAGCTCAAGTGGCCGCAATCACCAGAGCTCCAGTGTCGGCTGACAACTAGTCGTCAGAATTTTAGTGGTCGGCAACTATTTTTTTTGAAAATTTTTACAACTTAAGTAATATAGTTAACAAATTCTATAACGTTATTAACAAGCTCAGTATAGTAGTTAACAATAGGTTTTTTAAGAAATTCAAAATGTAGTATTTTTACAACTTCAGTAATGCTGTTAACAAGTTTTATAACTCTATTAACAAGTTTGGTATAACATTTAACAGGAGGTTTTCTGAAATATTCAAAAAATGGTTTTTTTTTTATAACTTTAGTAAAGTGGTTAATAAGTCATTAGTGATATTAATAACTCTTATAACCATAATGGTTGCCTAACAAGTGAAAAAATTTTGTTGTACAACATTTATAGAGAGCTAATATTAAAAACATTAACCTTTATGAAAGCTTTTAGTATCATTACATTAATTGTTAACCATGTTATTGAAGTTACAAAAATGTTACTTGTTGAATTTCTCAGAAAATCTGTTGTTAAATGCTATACCGAATTTGTTAATAGAGTTATGGAATTTGTTAACGACATTACTGAAATTGTAAAAATGCTATTTTTTGAATTTCCTAGAAAATATATTATTAACTGCTATATTGAACTTGTTAAAAATGCTACTTTTTAAATTTGCATTTCTCAGAAAAATCTGTTTTTAAATGCTATACTGAACTTGTTAATAAAATTACGGAACTTGCTAGCGATATTACTAAAGTTGCAAAAATACTAATTTTTGAATTTCCTGAAAAACTTGTTGTTAATTGTTATATTGAACTTGTTAAAAATGCTACTTTTTAAATTTAAATTTCTCAGAAAATCTATTATTAAATGCTATACCGAACTTGTTAATAGAGCTATGAAACTAGTTAATGGTGTTACTAAAGGTGTAAAAATGCTACTTTTTGAATTTCTTGAAAAACTTGTTGTTAACTACCATGTTGAACTTGTTAAAAATGCTACTTTTTGAATTTGAATTTCTTAAAAAACCTATTATTAAATACCATAGCGAACTTGTCAATGGTATTACTAAAGTTGTAAAAATGCTACTTTTTGAATTTTTTTGAAAAATCTGTTGCTAACTAATATACCGAAATTGTTAATAGCATTACAAAACTTATTAAACATGTTATTGAAATTGTAAAAATTTAAAAAAAAAAAAAAATTGCCGGCCACTAGAGCTCCAACGACCAATCATTGGTGATGGTGATTGTCGTCGACACTAGAGCTCTGGTGACCAGCCAACCAGTAAGAGGATTTGGTTTTTAAAAAACAATTAAAAAAAAGACAATATGATCATTTCAGCAAATTTACAAATCCCAAATTATTCACTTACACCTAAATTGGGATTTTGCTTATTCAAGTAACCATTTTGGGAATTTCAGGTTTAAGTGTTATTTTTGTGCTATTTTTCTTTTATTTTTGAATAAAAATTTATTTATTTTTTATTTATTTCATCTATTCCATGATTGGAGCAGGAAATACACGTTACATCATGATTTTAAGTCAGAAGAGAGATTTCATGGAGCGGCAAATCTGTTTTGTCCATCAATATCAGCAAGCACCTGAATTAATTTTGCTATATAAATCTAAATTAACCAAATTACAAATTATATTTAAAATCGAAACGGGCCTTTCTATTGGTTCTTACATGCGGGAGCAAAACAAACAGTATAGAGCATAAATAAAAGCGGTCTATGGGCCTAGCACGCAACTCAGAGTGAAAGATAGATAAAAAGATTCAACAAGTCCTGACAGTACTAACAGGATTAGGTTTAACGGAATTGGCTAATTTCTTACAACTTGATAAACTAAGATTTGAATCTCTATTGGAAGAAATATCCACGTTTAGTGTTCAACAATATTTCATACATGATTATCTTTAATCAGATAATACCTGTGCTTACCACACATAAAAAAAAAAAAAAAAAAACCCAACAAGTGCGACTAGCTAGTCCTATTCTTTCAAATTACCCCCGAGGCCTTTGATAACTTAGCCTCTTTGCATTTCCGATCAAGCCAGGCTCACCCAATATTTCCATCCAACCGGCTAACCTAGTTTGATTTTCTAAACAACAGAACAACAAAAAAAGGGGATGAGAACAGAGTTGTTTATATTTTATATTTATTCCTTTAGATTCTATTATATATATAATTAAATATATCTAATGCCTTCTACCTTTTCCAGCTCTCCTTCACTGTCCAGTCTTCATTATGAAAACCAAAATTAAATCAAAATACTCGGTCTTGCCTTCCATTTTCAATCATTATACTTAACAAGGGCAGAATTCCCCTTCCATGCTACCCGCGAATCTTCAACAATCAATTCTCAGTTTTTCACTGCAGAAAAAGGACTTTCAAGTGGTTGAGGAAATACATAACTCTGCAGCAAAGGTGGTGGTTGAATTACAAAAACGGGCATGTTGCTAAAGACCCCTTTTTTTAAAAAAAATTATATAAGGCAAAAATATTTGAGGTCACAATAAAATCAAACTCACAACCTTTCACTATCATGGACAGGCTCTGGGCCCTAGGCCATAAAGCCCCATAAGAGCTAACGACATTTTTCAAACTTGTCAAACCTCAATTAGACCATCATCAACCTGATCTTTTAAACATTCACCAATAAAACTTTGCGAACTCATTCAATAATGCAGGTTTACAATTAGTTCTTCACAAGATAATGAACTAAAGTTTGAATGCCTACTAAAAGAGATCCCACATTTAGTGTTCAAGTACCTCGGACATAATTACTTCTAATAGGAGGATGATTATACTTGGCACCAAAAAAAAGGAAAAAAACAGAGCAGGCTATGCCATGGTTCATCGGAGCTTTTGGAAGGACAAGCACAGAAGAGATGCCAAAGCGAGGAACAATTCTTCCATGCGATGGACCGGCGTGAAGGATTTTCAGCCACAACTACATTTTCGCTGTCCCAGAATCTTCATTCCATCAAATTAAGGAAGACGTCTTCTTTCTCATACAAATGACACCATCCTCTATCCATGGGAATGATGTTTATGGGCCCTTATGGCGAACCAATCACGCTTAAGCAAGGAATGGAAAGAAAATTTCCGTTTCTAGGGCCAAGATTCTCGCAACCAAACGAGCAGGAAATATTGGAAAAATCTAGCAGGTATGCACTGAATGAAGTCATAAACATCAATCAATACAAAACGATTCTACACTTCCCTTGCTTCAAGGTAATATTGTGAAAACCGTGAAACAGATGCTGTTTCTTACAGACACAATTACATATGGCAATATTTAGAAACAAAACAAACAAAAATCAACAGAGGAACATTTGATCCACCTTTTCTCTCTATAGGCAATCTTGCGACTCTAATCATCAAATGAGCTCAAGAATCCTCCCAGAAAACCAGCTCCATTACACTCTCCACACAAAACCTGTTTCTTACCCCTGCAAGACATGCATATTGGAGAGCTTTAGATAAAAGAAACTAACACCTACTAATATATTTTCAAATTCTGAGATTTGCACTTGTTCAAATTCAATTTTGTAATTTAGCAAAGTCGCCTAAACTTTGCCTAAGAGTAGTGGGACATTATACAGCAGTTGCAACTGAAGCATAGAACTAAGGAGAAGCATAAGATGATGCAACTATTCTTATCACCAACTTCTCTGCTTCACTAATTGATTTGGTTAACAGAAGAAAATGAACCCAGTTTAGACAGAGCTATGCGTAATATATTGAAGCGTAGCTACACATGCATCATGTATAAAAACAAAGGCGCAGAATGAGTGGATATCCATATGCATTGTAACATGCTGATGCAAGGTGCTGGAAGCGGAACATATGCATATATGGACTTAATTATTCACTGAAACACAGCATAAGATAGACACGTTCGCACAGGACAATATTAAGGGAAGGACAAGATGAGCATTTGATGCAGCTACCTGCAAAGCCAACATAGTCCACCAGCTTTAAACTGCCCATTGAAGTGATCTACAGAATTAACTCCACTTCCTTTGCACTGAGAACATGATATGGCACCTAGAAATTGAACCAAAAGAATAAATCATGGGGAGCCTAATGCTGACGTTTGTACTTCAAGGGAAAAATCTCTGCAAGTCCACCAGTTCACTAAGAAATTTGGAAGCACCGATGGCGCTTAA